TACCCTCCTTAATCAGGCCTCCTATACTCTCCTCTCCATAGATTTCAGATCACTTGCTGTTTACTTGTCCCTGGATTTGTTAACACCCACTCAAAAAACTTTTATGTTACCTAACATAACATGGATAAATATATTAAGTAACATCTGTCAGAAATATGTGAGGAATTTACAGAAGTAAAAATAGTAATGAAAGCCTGTCACTGACGTCTTTCAGTCAGCTCTCTGATAGTCCATGTTGTATTCAATAATCTTGGACCGTCACAATTTAAAGGCATCAATTCTTCTGCAACTTCCTTAGTCATTGTTCAGCTTTCACATACACATGAGGCAATTTAAAATACCTTTGCTAAGGTCAGGGCACCATAGTTTTTAGGGGTTTGTCTTGGCTTTTCAACACTTTAAAAACCCCTTTTGCAGCAGACTTTCCAATGCAATAAATCATTTAATTTCCTGACTGCTGCTTCTATGGACACTGATTATGGCTCTAAGTTAAATTAAGCCTTTATGATGTCATTATTTAATCTGTTTATCGTGATGTTTCTTAATGGTCCATTGGTTATCATGATTTTGCTTATTGAATATATTATGGGTTTCCAGAAAAATGAACAACCCTGCCTTGGAAAAAGTACAAGTGGACCATCCATGAAAAAGAAGATATCCCCAAGCCAGAGTAACACAATGGAACGCAAAGGCTGCAACAATAGACTGAACCACAACAAGTCTGAGGATAGTGCGGGACCAGGCAGTATGTCATTCTGTTGTACAGAAGGGGACTCTGAGTCAGAACTGACTTAGAAACACCTAAGAACCACAACTGTCAGTTCTTAACCATTTAATTTGGCTTAAAAGGAAAAAGAAAATATAAAATTAACAGTAATAAAATCAAGGTCACTTATGTAGCTCAAACAGCTTAGAACCAGTGATTACACATTTTTGCACCAACAATTGACTATTTGAAATATGAGTATTTATAAATAGGTGGACAATTATTTATAATCAAATGATCATTTATATGCAATTTAATTTTATGTAATCAATGTGGTAGTTATTTTGTTAAATTATATTTAGTCAAATTTAATTATTGTAATAAATTTTAGCAAGCTGGCTGAAGTGATGTAGGGTATGACCACAATATGTTAAATATAGAGATTAGGACAGCATATAAGTAAAAAATATCAATCTTTACAAGATGACAAAAGAAAAGAAAGTCCACTCCTCAATAACTTTTATGTCAAAAACAGAGATCAACATTTATCCGCAGTGTGCGCTAAAAGGGACAGTGATGAGAGATGGGGGCTAAGCTGGCCATAACATTAAACACTGTGATCACTGAATAAGAAAGTGCAGAAGTGAGCAGACTAAGTGATCAATATGAGCAACCAGATGAAAAAGAGTCAGTAATCCTAAGGAAATCAGTTAGTGCACCATGAAGGCAGACATCAGTAAGTTGGAAAGTAGGAAGATCACCTGTGACATTAGACTCCATGAGATTTGCTGTGATGACAGTGGCTCACCAGTGAGCGCAAAGATCAAGTGTGAGGAGGGCACAGGACCAGGCAGCGCTGAGTTCTGTTGTTCATAGGAACACTGAGTCAGAGCCAAAGGCACCCAGTGACAGCAACTTCTGTCATGGTCATGGCTGTCTAGCGATGCTATAACAGAAATAGTGTAAGTGGATGGTTTAAGAAACAAATCTAATCTCTCACATTTGGGGCGAGTGACTGCCATTGAATTGATTCCATTTCATAGCAACCCTGTGGAACACAATAGAACTCCCCCTTTGGGTTTCCAAGACTAATTCTTTTTTCTTACTTTAATCATTTTATTGGGGGCTCATACAACTCGTATCACAATCCATACATCCATACATCATGTCAAGCACATTTGTGCATTTGTTGCCATTATCATTCTCAAAACATTTTCTTTCTACCTGAGGCCTTGGTATCAGCTCCTCACCCTCCCTCCCCACTCTCCCTCATGAACCCTTGATAATTTGTAAATTATTATTTCTTTCATGCCTTACATTGTTTGATGTCTTCCTTTACCCACTTTTCTGTTGTCTGTTCCCCAGAGAGGGGGTTTATGTAGACCATTGTGATTTGTTCCTCCTTTCTCCCTCACTTTCACCTTATCCTCCTGGTATCACTACTCTCATTATTAGTCCTGAGGGGTTTATCTGTCCTGGATTCCCTGTGTTTCCAGCTCCAATCTGTACCAGTGTACATCCTCTGGTCTAGCTGGATTTGTAAAGTAGAATTGGGATCATGATAGTGGAGGTGAGGAAGCATTAAAGAACTAGAGGGAAATTATATGTTGCATTGGTGCTATTCTGCACGTTGACTGGCTCATCTCCCACCATTGCCCCCCCC